GGCCCTAATACAATTGAGTGACACCTTGGTATAATAATAGAACCCTCAAAAGACTAAATCCTAAGTATAAAATTGCTTAAAAGAAGGGGGGAAAATCACTCTAGGTTATGTAAAACAGAAAGGTTATCTCAGGGAGCACCTTGGTAAGTAGAAAGAAATCTTTCCTGGAAATTTGTAACCCTGGGCTAGGGATCACATATATTTCCTGCTTGTACTAGGAACCACCAGAAAACTGATCTAGAAACGGCCATCAAGCAACATGTTCATTAATTCCCTTTCACAGAGAAACAGCAACAAGAAGCTGGGTCCAAAAGGATATGTACCTTCTATCTCGGAATTTGTCTTCTGACTTTCTATCAGCAATAATTCCTAAGGAAGTTTGTCTTGGAGGACATTGCACTTCCTAATTAATTCGCTTAGGTGTCCTCTACAGATATTTAAGTTTGCAGGTTCATAATAAACATTTATATGGTTCCTCTTTCAAAAAACGTTTAATCTTGCAGCACAGAGAAAAGTCACTGGCAAAATGATATGGATCCAAGCACATGACACTCAGCTTTTTGTTTACTTTATCCATCCCTGCAAACGGTCTCTCATATAACATTTCAAGATTCTTTCTCATTCTGATTCATAAAATCAAGAAAATTAAACAGATTTATAAGCAGTCAGTTATGGCCGGCATCTTAAATTCTCAGGTGTAGGGAGCACAGATGGTACCCTCAATCTGTAGGTACCAGAGACAAAAGTAGTGCAATGGAGGAGGAAGTACTTACACAACCCACCTTTTTGTTTTATTTTGCTTTTTGTGGTACCAGGTATTGAACCCAGAGCCTTTGCATGAGCTACATCCTCAGCCTTTTTTATTTTGAGGCAAGATCTCATTAAGTTTCCTAAAATGGCCTCAAAGTTGCAAGCTTTCTGCTTCAGCCTCCCAGAATGCTGGGATTACAGATGTGCACCAGCATGCCCAGTCACAGCGTACATTCTGAAAGAATGACAGGGAACCTCATGCTGCCATTGCTGTAGAAGTGGATCTAGACAGGGCCAAGCTTTCTTGAGGCATGCTGACCCAAATGATAATTCACAAGTCTTTGACTCCATAATAGTCAGCTGCCATGATATGCTATGTCTCCATGCACATCCACTTGATTGAGTTTAGGTTTGGAAAAGTCTTACAATTTAGTCATTACAGATGTGGGCTTATTCTGTACAGATTAGATCAGTGATGGCGAACCTTTTAGAGCTTTCAATGACACAAATGGTCTGCTGTGGCATATGTGCCACAGGTTTGTCACCACTGGATTAGATCAAATGCTTACTAGAAATATTGTTTTTATCTTTAACAAGTTATGTTTCATCATGTGATGATTAAAACTTAATTAAATTTGTCACAAAACAGACAAAAACCCAAGAATGGCTCAGAGAGACAGGATGCCTCTCCATGGCAGTGTATGGGCTGCTCCTGCTAAGGCCCTTGGTGGTCCTGCCTGTAGCTGCTCCAGGTAATGATAAACAGACAAAACAAATTCAGGGCTAATTAGTAAGCACACCTCATATTTTAATCTAATAATAAAATGGTAGTATTTTATTTTTAGAAAAATCCAGAGAAAACCTAGAAGAACAGAAGACATTGGGAAGTAGGGTTGGGCAAGTAGGAAACTAAGCAATGCTTTACCACTTTGTAGACTGTAGCTCTGACTTCTCACTCTTTACCTGATGCTTAAGCCCCCACAAAATAACTCCCACAGGAGTTTGATCCACAGTGCAAAAAAAAAAAAATCTCCCAAAGTCATCCCACAACAATAACCTGGTCCCAGGTTATTATGTTCCTATTATTATTATTATTATTATAAAAATTATTATTATTACTTTTTTTGCAGTACTGGGGATTGAACTCAGGACCTTGCACTTGCCAGGCAGGCGCAGTGCCACTGAGCTATATCCTTGGCCCCCTGCTCCTATTATTTTTTGAAACAAACTAGTTGCTACTCCCAGATCAGTTCTCCCCGTGTCCACTGAGCACACTGGGGAAATCCTGTTTCCACAGCATCACTGTGAGTGACTTCACCAGGGGACTTTCCCCTTTCGACCACTGACATCCACTCCCCATTTGTGGGGCTGCTGCAGCCTTCCTAATATATGAGGCCTTCACTGGCCACCTTAGCCCCTAAATGCTTCACTTCTCTTAAACTCACACAGCACTTAATGCCATGTTTCATATGGCACTTAACTTTATCCTATTTTTGACATTCGATATGTTCAGATCTTATCCCCAAGGCTAACCTGCCTGCTCCTCAAAAGGAGAAACCAGATTCCTATCTTTCACTGCATAATCACCCAAGGGGTCTGGGATAGTTGTTTTATGTTACGAGTCTCAGTGCATGACTTTTCATTTATCCCTATAAATTTAAGGACAAAAAGATAAAAGTGGAGGGGATAAAGGGAGAAGGATAAATTTGTGTAAAGATCACTCTGTGATACCTTTAGGTATCTGTATTTTGAAGGGAATGATTTTGATCTCAAAAGAAAGCATCAAGATGGATCTTTATTTTTCCCTGAGAGGCATACAAGCAGAATGCTTCTGTCACTGTTTATCCTCTGACAGGGATATGTATGTAGTACACAGTCAAAGTCTGTAGAGAGCACCAATTCACATTCCCTCCTTTTCCTCTGAATAATCTGTACTAAGGGATCTCAGAGTTAACTCAGTCTAAGAGAAATATAGTCACACTTTGCTATTGTCTGAATGTGTTCTCCAAAATTCTTATGTTGAAACTTAATCATCGATGTGATATCAAAAGGTGGCATCTTTATGAGATAGTTAAATCATGAGAGCATGAGCATCATAGGTGGGATTAGGACCCTTACCAAGGGACTTCAGGGCATAGGTCTGCTCCCTTCTAGTCCTGCTGCCTCTCACTCTGAGGATATAGTTCTCCTCCAGAGAGGAGGGCGCCATCTTAGAAGCCTGGGCCCTCACTAGATCTGCTGCTGGCAACTTGATCTTGGCTTTCCCAGCCTCCAAAAATTGTGAGAAATAAATTTCTGTTGTTTAAAATGAGTGAGTCTGAGATCCTATGTTATAGCAGCACAAATGGAGTAAAGTTACAATTTCTGTACACAGCTCTGATTAGTGTCAACAGTTTCAGAAGCTAACTGGCAAGCTTAGTCCCAGCAGGAACCAGCCCAAAAGTTAGTGGAAACCCACACAGATCATCCTGTTTTTGCTCAGAGTCACTGTTTAAAATCACCACATTTTGCTTCCTATTAGAGTCACCAAGGGAGGTTTTAAAAATTCTTATTCCCAATTCAGTCAGGTCATTAGCAACTTACACAAACATTCATCTAGAGAGCTGTCAGAAAACACTGGCTCATCCAGAAATAAGCAGTGACTACAGAAGGCAAAAGGGACAGGATTTATCACTGATTCCCCAGTGACTGAGTATCTAACTTGTGACTAAGAGTCTTCAAGGTCTCACGTTTTTCTCTTTCCTATAATATTTTGGGACCTCTATTAACATATTTACCTCAAAGTAAAGAAGGAGAATCTAGAAATGACAGCACACTTCTTACTAAAGGTTAGAGAAGCCTCCAGTGGTTCTGCAGTGGTTCTTGCTCTTGAGTATTCATTAGATCACCTGGGATATTTAAAAATACTCAAAAATGTACAACCTTAATGCAGAGATATTGGTTCAATTTGTGTAGAGCTGTGTGTTTTTCTCCCTTTTTCTTTTTTGGTATGGGGGATCGAACTCAGGACTTTGTGCTTGCGAGGCAGGCGCGCTGACACTGAGCCAAATCCCTGACCCCAAAGAGCTGTGGTTTTTAATGCATGCTTTCTAGTCAGCAGCATTTTATTCACTTGGAGACTCTAGAAATGGAAACTCTCAGCCTATCTCAGACCTAATGAATCAGACTCTTAGGTGGGGTAGGAGGGTGGGGATAGTAGCAGCTATCTGCTTTAATAAGCCCTCCATGGAGTGATGGTCATGTTAATATTTAAGAGCCACTGGTGTAGGTGAGGTACAGGTCTGTGATTTTGAAAAATTCCACAGGTGTTTTCTACTGGGCAGTTTAGGTGGAGACTTCTGGTTAAACTGTTGTAGCTCAGGTATCTGACATCTGTCTTTTAATGATGTCTTCATATTCTCCTAATTTCTAATCCACCATAGGAAGCAGAATACTACTCACTGGGCAGAGCATGCGAGGTCTTCCATTACGTTAAAAAATGATTTGATGTACGATCATTTTAACAACTGAGTTAGATCAATAGTTAAGTACCTTAACGACTCACTCAAACATGTCAGTAAAAATGCTCTATCTTCATCACCCCCACTACCCAATCAATCCACTTTCGTCCAAAATAAAACAGCCAATAAATAATGACTCCATTGCCAAATATAAACATCATTTTTTACTTCTTAGGATAAAAGAGATGTGAAAATGATGGGTCTTCATTTTGAAATGAGCCTTTCAGTCAAAATTTCAAGCTTCAATTGGGTACCATCTCATCCTTCAAAGAGACCTTAACAGTTTAAGAAGCTTAGGACTTTTAGTTGTGCAATAGTGACATTCAGAATTCGAACTTTTATGCAGCGTTGGAATAGAAGTCTCGGGCAAGATGTGGAATAAATGGAATCTTTATATGAGCATCAATTCATACTTTACATGACAGAAGTTACTATGCAATGACTAATGCTTCAAAGAGGGGTGAACAGGCTGGCTGTTCTCTTCTCCTGCATTTGGCTGGCCCCAGGGTGGAAAAGTCTCACTCACCTACTGTGGCACTTCAAAGATGCTTCATGAGAAAGGAGGCAATCCTATGGATCCTTTCATATTTCTGACAGTCTTTGAGGATAAGTTACTGGTGCAGCGAAAAAAAAATTTTCTAATAGCCTTAGACACAAGGAGCAGTTAAGATCGCAAGCTTACACCAAACTCTATGGGGCTATTCACTCATCAACAGCCCTAAAACCCCAGTCTGTCTACTGAGGGTTTACCTTGAGGACAGTAGATGTCAGGAGCCCATCGGTTGCATTCATAATTGTCTGCTGCCTTTTCACAGGTGAAACATTTAAATCCACCAGGATATGGGGTAGCTACAAAAATTGAGAGAAAATATTGATTTTTAGACTGGGCACAGAATCTTGTGAAGGCATACTCATTTTTTTTAAAAAAGGATTTGCAAGATAATTGTCAAGTATATTAAAAAGCTAAACATTCAACTTTCATATGACCCAGCAATTTCACTCTGAGAAATTTATTCCCGAGAAATGAACATTTATATTCACACAAAAAATTTGAATACAAATATTCACAGAAACTTTATCTCTAATCTGAAAATCTGAAATGTAAAATTCTCAAAAATCTGAAACTTCTTGAACACCAACATGACATCTCCCCAAAATCCACACCTGACCTCACGTGATGGGTCTTAGTCAACATGCAGGAGCACTAAAAATATTCTAAAAATTACCTTTAGTCTATACATAAGGCATATATGAAACATTAATGAGTTTCATCTTATACTTGGGTCTCTTCCTTAAGATAGCTCATGAGGTGTGTGCAAATATTCCAACCCCCCCCCAAAGAAATATCCAAAATCTGAAATACATCTGGTCCTGAGCATTTTGGATAAAGGATACTCAACATGTAATGACCAAAACTGGAGATATCTAGATATCTCTGAATGATGAATGATGAACAGCTCAGCAAGCTGTGATACATCCATATTATAAAATACTAGGGAGCAATCAAAAGGAATGAACTATTAACATGTTCAACAACTTGGATATATTTCCAGGGAATTATTGCTACTCAGAAAAAGCTAACCCAAAAAACTATATACTGTATGTTTCCATTTAGGTAACATTTCTGAAAGGACAAAATGTTGGAAATGGAGTATGGGTGAGCAGTTGCCATGTGCTGGGTGGCAGTGTGGTGGGCAGCACTGGAGGAAGAAACCCTTGAGTTGACGCCATCCTCTCTCCTCCCCAGAGCTGCCTCATCTTGCCTTCTTTAGGGACTGTCTTGCAGGTGCTTGTATTCCTGGCCAGACCTGCAAGCTCAGCTGGGAAGCGGAACACAAGAGTCATGTTCTAAAGAGTGCTCAGCACACCAGGTCTTCCATCAGCACAAGGATGGGGGTCAACAAGGAATGTCAGGCCAGGATGTCCTTTGTCCTTTTCACCAATGTGCTTTTAATTGTCTCATGGCTATAATCATTTGCTGGCTTTGCTACTTAAGAGTTCTGCCTTTCATGAAAAAAAAAACTTGTGTATTCTTTTTTTCATTTGTAAAATTACCTGGCCTATTTGAAAGCTGCAGACACTCAAACCCTTCATCTGCAGGAGCCAACTGTTCTCCCTCGCAGATGGCTGAGCCTGCGAATCCCGCAGATGGAAATAATCAACTCAGGGTAAATTGCTTTGGCCACATGGAACCAATTAAGTATGTTATCAAAAATAATGAAGGAGGAGGCAGCAACTTAAGGCCAGAATTATGGGCCAGATATAACTTTGATTTTCACCTTGCCTAGAAGAGTTGCCCATCCATGTACTTGCCTACAATATTTCACAGAGCTGTGACAATATCCCATACCCTACATAGTCAAAAGTCTTAACTCTAAAAAGTCAAGCAACTGAACCTTTTTATGGGGCCTTCTGAGAGTTCTATGTTCCTCCAAGTACTTGGTGACTCAAATTTATAAATAGAATGATAGCAAAGGCATGGATCATCTTACAAAATAATGAAAAGTGACCGAGAGACAGCCACTTCATTCCCATGAGGAAATTCCACTGTGGAGATAATGCTGTCCTATTACAGAATTCTCATAACCAGAAGAAAGTATTTTGTGAAATTACATATAAGTAATTTGTGTACCTACATCCCACCACCTAGAAAACTGGGTTACATTTGAACTAAAAGATACTATTTTGTTTTGTTTTTTTGGTACCGAGGATCGAACTCAGGTCCTTGCGCTTGCGCAGCAGGCGGTGACACCACTGAGCTAAATCCCCGGCCCTAAAAGATACTATTTTGATGAGGACCTGCCTGAAGAATTTAAAACAAACCATCCTTAAATACCAGAGCCATTCAGAATTCTTATAGATATTTTAATTAAATTATATATATATATTATATATATATAGCACTTATTATGAGAGATATAAACTTTTTCTTGATGAAAGATTGCAGAGAAATGATAAAGCAAGGAATAAAACATTTTTCTGAGAATGTATCAGCAGAAAACATAATTAGCAGCTTGTCAAGATGATTAAATTTTGCTAATGCATAACTTTATGAGAGTAGCAGCTGCTCAGTTACTTAATACCTGATCATCAATATTTTAAGACAACATGGAGTCTGGTTTTTGTTATCTCTTTTCCTATCCCAGACAAAAAGATAAGGAATGCAGTTGGTGCTAATTCTGGAGAAAGATGAATTGCATTATGAACTTCTTCAATTATTTGCCTTGCTTCATAAAACTTTCTCTTTCCTCTCTCCAAGCCCTCAGTATTCAAAAATCATTTACTGAAGGGAGGGGGGGAGGGACAAGAGAATAAAGAGAATAAAAGGAAGAAAATGGAAACAAAGGAGGGGAAAAAAAGAAAAAAAAGAAGGAGGGGAAGAGGAGTCTAAGGGAGGGGAGGGGAATGAGAGAAAAAAAGAAGCAAGATATATCTTGTACAGGAATAAATTCCTTGTGATGAATGATCATTATATATATATTTAAAAAGTACCAATAAAATTAAAAAAGTCACATACCACTAAATTATAGCAAAATGGTTTCTCCTAAAGCAAAAGTGAAGCAAACCTGGGCATGAGTCAATAAACAATTATGAGGCTCTCACATCATCAAAAAAAAAAATAATGCCACCTATGACATATGGCCTCAAAGTGCATGGAACCAGTTTATGGAGAATCTGGAAGGAGTAATATTTTCTCTCCTCTGGAACTGATGGTCCCTGTCATCTCCATTCCAGGGACAGTTTTTCTTTGAGCCACAACATATTTGGTGGGGGGGAAGTTGTACTGAAAATACACATAAGCATCTTTTCCCAAGAAGTCTGAAGCTCTCATTATATTTTCAAAACAGAATGTGACATTAGTGGCCTTCAAGACTCCCTAACTTGGGCCGCCATTTTCTTCTTGCTGTGGTAGAACTGGCGACTGCATGGCTTGGGTGGACGCAGGCTTTGGAACTAGTCAGGCTCTGCTCAAATGCAGCTGCTTAAGATCAGGGTGACCATGTGCATCACTGTTGGAAAATCACTGGATATCTTGAGACCTCAGTTTCTTCATTCATTCATTGTACATATAGGAACCACGTTTTTCTTTTTTTAAAGATTTAAACAATATTTACGAAGCACTTATCACAGATTGTGTGGTATGCAGTATTGGGTTTCCTTCTTCTTTCCTTCCATCAGCATCTGAGAATAGTTGAATGACAATGTGTCCAGGCCCAGGGGATTTGTCATGATTCAGGGCCAACAGAACAGTGCCATGTTCTACTTCTGTGACTGATTTCAGGGCATAAAATCCAGTTCTGGTCAGTCTGAAGGAAAACCCTTGGGGGCTCTGGGAGAGATGGTCCACTCTGACAGAGAGGAGAGAAGAGAAGTTCTCTTGGTGGTAGACTGTTTAGGTGAAGACTGGGGGCCTGTTGCCTCACAAGCCCACTGGCTGAGGTGAAACTGTTACGCACATTGAGGATGTCAGAGCCGGGTCAGGTCTGGGTCCTGACCTTACTGTGGGGCAACTTGGGATCACTTTTTTGGCCTTTTGTTGATAAGCAATATTCTGTGATAAAGCCTCCACTAGGCATATTTTCTATTATTTGTAACTAAAAACATCCAACATCAAAAGTAGACTATAAGTAATGTGTATTAATTATTATATTTTGAAAGGGGTAGGTTGATATTTAGTAAAACTAATTTCATTGTTAATAGATAATAATATAATTATTGCTATATAATAATTAATATATAATTCCAATATAATTCCAATTGTGATT